GGTGTTTACGAAGTGGAAGCTTCGTAGTTATGGACCCTATTGGTACGACATTATTTTCTCAAATGTTTTGTTGATGTTTTGTTTTGTGCTCATGCTCAAGACAAATACAGTGACATGGAACAGTGCTGTTGTGTCGTAGCGTGGAAGGGTCATTCTAAAAGTTTGGAGGTCATCAGGTGCTGTGTTTTGAAATATCACAGTGCATTGTGCTGGTATCTGATGGGATTACGGCTACATTATGCATGTTTTAGTCTTAAGCGAAGCAGGAAAAAGAAGTTAAAAGCAACAGCCTGCTCAGGGCTCACAGAAAGTGACAAAATGCGCCACAAATACATTCGGCAGCGTGTCGGTTTGAAAACATGCAGGCGTGAACGATAGTCGTCACCGAATGTATCGTAGATTGCGCATCCTTTCGAGTCCAAAATCGCTCCTTCCTCTCGATTAAGGTTGAATCTATCACACAATGGATCACCCCGATTACGTCAGAGGCGCTCTTCACCTTCCCATCCTCCAATCCGCCGTCTCATTAAAATAATCACAAACTGGAAGTAAGCACTTGGTCATATTGAGTGTCTGGCACCTAATATTGACGAGCAGGCTAGAAGTGCGACCAAGAGCATGGCCGTCATTTTTTCGACGCTCGAGGCAGGGTGCACGAGTTGATCCCCCAGGGTGGAACTGTCAATGTCGAGTTCCCTCGTACAGTTCTGAGACATCCGAGGCGATGGAATTCGCTGCAGATGACCTGACATGTGGCGCTTGGTGGCTTCAACATGATAACGGGTCTGCTCACTGGACGATGAAAACGCGTTGGCTTTTCGGACCGCACCGATATTTCACTGCTACCGCGCACTCGTCGTAAGATTGGCTATCTGAGATTTGTTTCTCTTCTACAAGATAAGCTTCAACTCCACGTCGCTACCAGGTCGCCGTTTGGACCACTAGATGCGTACCACGCTTTCCAATTCGCGTTCGTGTGATTCGTACGCCTCTCTCTGGGCCGCTGGCAAATACTTTGCGTCATATTTGCAGCGGAAACTTGCACTGAGCTTTAGAGCGGCGGCTTGTTCACGCATAACGTAGGGACTCGACGCGCATTGCACAGGCGCCAGAGCAGCAAGAAAAGGAGTAACATTTGCACGTCAGCGGGCGGTGACAACGTAAATCAGGCACGTCAGCGGGCGGTACAACGTACATCAGGCACGTCAGCGAGCGGTGCCAACGTAGATCAGGCATGTCAGCGAGCGGTGACAGCGCACATCAGGCACGTCAGCGGGCGGTGCCATCGTAGATCAGGCACGTCAGCGGGCGGTGACAACGTAGATCAGGCACGTCAGCGGGCGGTACAACGTAAATCAGGCACGTCAGCGGGCGGTGCCATCGTAAATCAGGCACGTCAGCGGGCGGGGCCAACGTCGATCAGGAACGTCAGCGGGCTGTGCCAGCATAGACCAGACACGTCAGCGGGCGGTGACAACGTAAATCAAGCACGTCAGCGAGCGGTGCCATCACAGATCAGGCACGTCAGCAGGCGGTGCCAACGTAGATCAGGTACGTCAGCGGGCGGTGCCATCTTAGATCAGGCACGTCAGCGAGCGGTGCCAACGTAGATCAGGCACGTCAGCGGACGATGGCAACGTAGATCAGGCACGTCAGCGGGCGGTGCCATTTTAGATCAGGCACGTCAGCGAGCGGTGCCAACGTAGATCAGGCACGTCAGCGGACGATGGCAACGTAGATCAGGCACGTCAGCGGGCGGTGCCATTTTAGATCAGGCACGTCAGCGAGCGGTGCCATCGCAGATCGGGAACGTCAGCGGGCGGTGGCAACGTACATCAGGCACGTCGGCGGGCTGTGCCATCGAAGATCGGGTGCCGCGTTGATGTCAAGCTGGTATGTGCTGCCAGTGGGGGCCGGACTCCACTGCGTCTGCCCGCTCGCTTCGAGACATCTTTTGGGGTAAATAACCTGCTGGTGGATAAGCACTCTTGGTGTTACGTGGGTAGGATGGCGTATGCCTTGGTTTAAATGGTGGATCGGCTTCTCGTATCTAGGCCTATCGTATTTTTATTTCCGGAGACCTGGACCTGTGAGATCTCTGGAACTCTGAAAAAGCAGAGCGTTTTGGATGGATCGTCTTGCAAGTGGTTCCATACAATTTGCAGGGGGTTTAGCTAGTCAGTCACGTATAAAGTATTACGTTATCAATCATGAAGTATCGCGTTACTTTAAACGGAGCGCTTCGCTTATATCAACATGTGGTAAACATTTTTCTGAGAATATGATGCGGGTGACTGAGACGCTACTACGGAAATCAAAGTCAACATGTGCGTCTTCAGGACACCTGAAATAAAAACCATCAACTGATAAGGTATATAGATGAGACAGTACTGTTGACCTTATTCCTCGTAGAATAACCAGGGAGGGAGAGGTAATGTATTGATATTTCGGTTACATGCCTTTATCGAAATATATTTCAGTTTCGGTAATAGATATTTCGATAAAGGTATGCAGCCGAAATATCAATATATCTATCTCTCCTTTTTCAGGTTATTCTACGAGAAGTAATGCTAGCATTACTGTCCTATTTTATTTCCATTATGGTTCTTGCAACTGTCCTCAGCAATCCGTATATAGTAGATATCAATTAATCAGTGATGCTAGTCAGGCTCTGATTTTCTGCGATAAAACTAAAGATAGCGCTACCATCCTGATGCACCCTGGACACGTCCATGTCCATGTAGTCGTACATAAGCGCCACTCCACAGCGCCATAAAAACCACAGCCAGGAAACTTGGGCAACCCTGAGAGCCTGAGCCCTCTTGGAACCCAAGCATACGTCACTACGGCGCCCCAAAGCGTGAATGACGATTAGAACGTGGATGGTATGGCATTTGTAATCCCTGGTGTAAATGATGCAAGAGAGGTCCTTCCTCTACTGAAAGGCTGAGCCCGTGCACGCCACGCCCTGTGATCGGATGAGATTGTTGGTTGAATAATGGGGAGCAGGCTCATCGCATCGGCACCACCACGGAATATGGTGCGAAGGTTGCGCCTAAGGTTGGGAAGGGAAGGCAAGTTTGCATAGGTGGAAGGTTGCGCTTCGCTGTCGCTCTCACTATATGGATACGCCCACATATATTGTCGTAGCCACTATTCGTGAACTCCTTGGAAACGGCATGCAATGTGCAAACATTTAATTAAAGACAAAGGCATCATAAGGTGTTTTCACTAAAACGATATCTGACGAATGCACGTGAATGGTTGTCGCTGTATATGCGGCTAGGAAGTCCACCTGATTCGCCTAATGCAAATTAAAAGACCGAATTCATTCTCGTTTGATGTTCAGTCTGATAGCAAAACTGGTTTGTAACCACCACTACCCCACAAAAAGTGCAGGTGCAGTGGTCACCGTGCTTGCCGATGGCTAGTGCAGATGTTTAATATATTGAAAGACCGTAGCCTATTCTCCGCCATGCGTTGCAGTAAATCCTTTGATTCTACTGCCCAGTGAATCACGCGGCAAAACCTGCGAAGATTCGGTTGTATTATAATGTTTTGATACGTTATTTTGTATCGGCGCAGTGCATAAAAGGTTCTTATGCGATTTGTTGCGAACGCACCTTGGTAGCAAAGTGCATCGCTAAAACAACAGCTAAAATATTTCGTTAAATGACAATAGCAATCCAAGAGTTAAAGAAAAAATATGCAACAAAATCATGATTTTAGATGGAGGCAGTGAACCCATGGGACGTTTGCAAGAGGACTTATACAGCGGCCCATATCGGACGTTTCTAAAGCGGACACGTGTACAGTATAGTTAGTTATAAATGAAAACAGCGGCACTATCCCTGATCGTAATTGGCCGTAAGCACCTTGCTTGCAAAAGGCTCTTGTTCGTCATAAATGCCAGTGTAAGTGTTCCGTGCCGTTTGATATTATTATAGTGATGAGCCTCCATCAGTAAGTGAGAGAGGCACATCACGCCCTCTCACTACAAGTCCTCCCGCATCTGGTGCTGTGCTGACGCCGCAGCCTCTCAGCTGGCTCATCTCAACTTGTCCTCCCCAGGCCGAGGCATGTCAGCCGCGGCCCTGACCAGCCCGGCCTGCTGTCTGGTCCGGACGTCCAGGTCGAGCTGGACGCCGCCGCCGCCGCGCTCCGACCGCTGGCCGACTCCTCTGACGTGGCGACGCGCCGGCAGGCGGCGGCGGCGGCCCGCGCTCTGGCCAGCGCCGCCGTCCTGCTCGGCCTCGCGCCCGACGTCAGCGGGCTGTCGTCGGCGTCGCCCGGCGCGCCCGTTCGCGTCTGCCCCGAGCATTACGTCAACGCCACCGTCGGCTACCCATTCTTCTACGACGGCTGGCGCACGGCCGACTGCGCGCTGCGCCGGGGCTACGGCCGCCTGCTGACGGTCGTGCTGACGGTGACCGCCGACGACGACGTGCCCCGGCTGCGCTCGGTGCTGGCCGGCCTGGCCGAGCTGTACCCGGACGTGCCCGTGCTGGCGGGGGTCACCGACTCGCTGGTCGCGCACGTCGCGCCCTTCGACGGCGTCACCGTGGTGCCGCTGGGCCGGCACGGCCACGAGCCGGCGCCAGGGGACGTCCTCGACCGCCTGGTGGCGCTCGTGCGCACCGAGTACGTGTTCGTGGCCACCGAGCTGGTCCGGTTTGATTCGGATGCGAACCTGGAGCGGCTGCTGCGGGAGGCGGAGCGGCAGCGGGCCAGCGCCGTGGCCGGGGCGGTCCGCCGCACCGACGGCCGGTGGACCCACGGCTGCTTCCAGGTCAGTCTCTCCAACCACTCGCTGCGCTACCGGGCCGGCTACCACCGCTCGGAGCACGAGTGTCTGCTGTGTGACCACGTGGCCGGCCCGTTCGTGGCGCGCACGGCGCTGCTGCGCCGCTGGCCTTTCGCCGCGCACGGCCGTCTGCCGGCTGAGCGGCTGCTGCTGAGCGTGCGGCACGCTGGCGGCCGCCCTGCGCTCGTCTGCCCGGACGTGATGTTTCACGTGCGCGACGCATCGCGAGCCGAGGAGACGCAGCGCACCGACGGCTGGCTGGAGCTGGCGCGCCAGCTGGGCACCGTCCTGGTGGAGCCGCCCGAGGGCGGGCAGCTGCACTTCAGCTGCTGGCAGCTGCAGCTGGAGTGCGTGCCGACGAAGGGCCAGCTGCTGTCGCCCTGCTGCCGCCGCCAGCTGCTGGAGCTGCTGCACGCCGTGATGGCCCGCTGCCAGGAGGCGGGCGCCACCTGCGAGCTGCAGGAGGGTACACTGCTCGGTGAGTGGATGACACTCAGGAGGGCACATCACTGCGTGACGCTGCTAGTAGGTGGCGATGTGCCGCTAGGGAACGCTTGTTCATTGTTCACCCTGGTCTCCAAGCCTGACAATAATTCATCCCCATCCTGTCCACTGCATCATGGGAGGCGAGTTTGATCGCGAGATGAGCAGTGTGCTGTCGTGTTCCGACTGACACCGGGAGGAGGACAGCATCGCCGGACCCGCCGCCCGCCGCCCGCCGGACCCGCCGCCCGCCGCCCGCCGAACCCGCCGCCGACCGTCGGCCCATCAGATATCGACCGCGAACACGTGACAGCGCCCCACTGTCGGCAGGTGCCGTCAAGCTGGGGACGATACTGCCGTGGGAAAGGGACGCTGACATCGCCTTCAGCAGCGCCGACTTCGACAAGCTGGACAGCATGAAGAAGAGGTTTAGCGACGACGGCTTTCGCTGGGTTCAGCGTAAGCATAGCACATGGAAACACATTTTCATAAGTAATGGAAGAGCCATAAATAATAGAAGAAGGTAGCACAATCCGAATGAAAACAGACGATTTTTTCTTGAGGGTCCGATCCACTATTCGGGAATGAAATCACAGCACACTGGCTGTCACTTTCAAATTATAAAGCGTCTCCGGCATCCTCATGTTTTGCTGCTGGTTCGCATCGTGCGAAACGTAAGAACGCATCCCCTTCTTAAAAAAGGGATGCATTTGCTTTCATACATATACGTTTATTTAGTACAACGGCATTGTTCAATGTCTGAGAAAAATCGTCTTGACAGGCAAAGGCGTTATGAGGGAATCCTCAGGCAACTGGAGGGAGTGTTCCACTTCTGTGCGTAGTTTTGAGCTGAAGTCGTCATTTTGAAAGTTATTCGATGTAGTCCACAGCCCCACCCGTCTTAAGATCTATAACCCTCTAGTTTCCGGGCTAGACGCCCGCGAACATGTGCAGTCTACTTCGTGCATACTATTCCACGGCCATTTAGGCATGCAGAACCTCATAGTAACGTCATTCAAACACTGCCACCCCACAGGCCAAGCGGCGTTTAAGGCCACGAGGAATATTATCGCCCAGCCGTTCAGATCTGGCGTCCGTGAGCGCGACTTCCAAATATGGTGGACGTTAATTGGCTCTCAATGTTGAGCTAGCTGTGCAACCCTTAATTATGAAGCCTCTCCGTGCTATATAATATAAAAAGCTGGACATGGGCACTTCACTTGCTAGCTATTATGTAAATAAGACTTATAATCAAAAAGCTTAACAACAATATCATTACCGAGTATGTGAAAACCAGTAATTATCTTACACTCACGGATAAATATGCAAGCACAGCCATGAGAAAGCGTCACGACACGAACACATAACGATATTTGGTTCAGCGAACTTTCCCAGTCCATGCTGTTATCTCCCGAAGTACTACAAGTAAGTGGAAATTTCGCAAGGCTAGCTTGACAGTACCTTAATGTGATACAAACGTTCCATAGCAATATCAGGCAATGGTGTTTTGAGAAGAAGATTTACTGAGTATATAAGAAATGTGCTGCCTACAGCAGTCTTTTCCACTAAAAGACACAGCTGTAGCTATAAGCGAGTTTATTTCATCACATCAAATGCTCGCTTCAACATCTTCAAATATTGTGCATTCCCTTTTACCCGGGCGACCCGGTCTGGACCGGTCGTCATGCCTTCCACCAGCTGATGTCTTTGTAACCACTAATGGGGGGCCCGTGCTGTGTTTTTCAGCAAGACGGGCAAATCTTTAAAAGGTCGCGCCGTATTTTTATTTAGTATATGCTTTGCAATGATGTGATCAGGCGTTTTATTTTCCGGCGCCTTTGTTAAAATACCACAGTTTTACATTTTCGTTCGATCAACATGTAATCATAGAGCTTTCAAAGTACTCAAAGGTTGAAGAACGGTTCGGAACCGGGCCAAGGCCTCGAGGTATCAGTGCTGCGGCTACACTGGACACTGAGGCAGGAATTACACCGGATCCGCCGTCGATCATTACTGTTGGCAGTGTTCCGCAGAGGGACCACGGGCTTGCTCGCATGGCTTTGATCTGATAGCGTTTCCGATCTGACACGCTGCCAACTTTTCAAGCTGACAGGTGCCAAGGGATGACTGTCAAATGACCACATAATCGACTCACCATTGGTATAGCGTTCGATGACAGACGAAGATGAACAGATTTTTGAAGACCTGCGATGAAAGGCGATATAAATGATTGACATTGCAGACATGCATGTTTCAACAAGCGCCCGGGTCGCTGGTTGGATACCCTTCGCTCGGGTGATGGGCCAGTTTGACCCCCCTGAGGTCTAAGGAACTACGAAAGCTAGAGACATTAGATTTACAGGGTGTTTTAGCCTGTATGTGAGCTCACTTAAGCCAAAGTTTGAAGATCATAGGTCGTAATATTCGTGTCAAGCAAGGTCCAAACAATGTCAAACTTCAAGTTGGTCCCCAAAGTGCCCAAAACCTGGATACCTCTTCTAAGCAAAAGGCCACATGCTCATTCAGGGTCAGTGATCTTCTTTACCCTTTTAAGGTCACGTTAATCAAAATCATGGAAGACTGCTTTGAGTTTTGCAGTTCAATAAGCGACAGACCGCGTAAGGCCGTATGATCCTAGAGACAAAAATGTTGACAAGAGTCATTTTAAGCCAGCGATCTACTCTGACCTTAACAAAAAATCCATAGAAAATGTAGCAATGCGTGTCATGTTACCAATAGATCCGGAATGAGCACCAGAAACTACCGCAGACAGCCAGGCCCTAGAGTAAGAAAACAAGTTGGTCTTGACCTTGGTCTGACCTTCATACCTGACCATAGGTCAATGGGATTTGTTCATTCAATTGTTGTGTTGCCTAAGAAAGTATCTCAGAGATGTATGGCTTCGTTTAACACTCCGTTGTCCATCAGATTGAACGATTCCCTAGAAATTGACTTCGCTGAATCCATGGCCTGGCTTTGACCTGCCATGGGTCAGTTAACTTCCAAGGTACATCAAAATTGTCATGTCAAATGATTGCTATTCAATTGTCTACAGATGTCCAAAATTTGGCGTGGCTACGCCGCGCCGTTCGTTAACCATTCTGGAAAATCTTTGGGGGAGGGGTTAAAATGACCCTCGCCAGGGCGCATGGTAAAGGTTCTGTCGATACGTTCTGGCCAACGACAGAAACATATGTACACCAGCTTGTGTTGCAGCGGGCCTTGGTGAGTTCAAGTTGCGGAGAATTTGACATCCCCATGACTGCACAGCGTAGCAGCCTTGCTGCCTTTCATCGGCCTACGGAAAGTCCTGAGCTGCTTTGGAAAGCTTACAAACACTCTTCGACATACCACCAGACGTGAGAAAGCTGAATACGAGGTTCTGATGGCTCCTGATAAGAGATGGGCAATGACAATCGCGTGAGAGTGGTGTTTTAGGTTTAGTTTAAGCAATCCAAAGTGCATCCTTTGGCAGAGTGACTTGTCTTAATGAATGGATCCGCACCCGAAGGTTATATACATACACGTGCTTGGATGACAATGTTGTTGCTGATGGAGACGTAGGCCTGTATGTGGATCATCCACAATGAACTTGTGACTTTTCAGTCCATCGTCAAAATAGTGAAATGACACAGGGAGACTACCCTGAGGGCAGGTGTAGACATTTCTTACTGTTCAGCCCTCAGCTACACTTGTTTTGCAAAACTACGCCATTACGGCTCGCAATAAGCTTCGCTTGTTAGACCACGGGCAGGGCAAATGCAGTAAGTGCGTTTCAGCAATCGCCCTAATACCGCCCTAACTACCAATGTATTTCTGGAACACGGGGTTTGACAGCAAGTGCGCGATGCTCACGGCGTTTGACACGAATCAGCTAACACGCAGCGTCGCGCGAGACATGATATGAACGTAAGCAATGGACCGTAAAGATGTGTACGTTGGCGAATTCCGTCTAGTGCTGCCAGCTGGAAACCTAAACCAAACCGCCCTGTACGCGGGACCGCGTACTTACAATCAGGCTAGCGCAGTCATGTTGACAAAGCGCAAAAAAGTATTGCTGTTGTGTTTTCGCGCACGTCTGATATATCACTGCGGTGCATTCGTTGACATGACGCAAGTTCATATGTGTGCATTACTTTTGCGTCCCCTTTGTGCACTTATTCTGAGCCACCCTGTGCAATAATAAAGCGTCACCAAAAACAGCGAAAAAAAAACGGACGAAGTGAACCCATGGGAGTGCTTAGACTGGTGAAATCACACCAGAGGTCTCCTCTCCATGGTGTCGGTACATTAGTGCTGCTGTAAGTATTTTGATCGGCAGACTCAAGACGACATTAGTTTTGCACGACATTTCTTTTGCTGAAAAGCGTCTAGTGTAATTTCGTAGTGTCGTAAATACATTTTTGGGGATTAGCTCGGAAAAACGGCCAAGCCTGCCCAAAATTACGCAAAACACGGGGCTTCCCGGGTGTGGCACACTGTACAGGCGGTGAGTGAACTCATACCCGGAGTGGCACTTATGTCACATATAAGTTTCGCAAAGAAGAAATGTCGCGTGTAAATAATGACCATAAGGTTTTGCAGTGCAAGTAAGGCTAGACATGGGTTTGTGAGGTATAAGTTTTGTTCCAGGCCACTAATGTCGCCCTCATGTCCGCAGTAGATGTAATGGCATGCATAAGCAATGATTACTTAAGCTTTTACAGTAGACGTAACGGCGATTATAGGTTGTTTAGCACGCACCGGAATAACCGACTGAATGCCCTTTGCTGGGGTGAGGGTCAATGTGATTTCAGATCTTAGAACCTAAGAGGGCTAGAGGCACCAAAGTGACAGGATATGCTGGCCTGTACATGAACTCACTTTTGTTAAAATTTGAGGTAGGTTGCTATGTCATGACACTAGGGTCAAACAAGGTCAGATTCAAGATCGGTGTCCAAAGTGTTCCCAGACCTTTCCATGTAACCAACGTGAACCTAGATTGGTGCTCATTTAAGGTCAGTGGCTTTGCTTGACCTTTCAGAGGTCATGGTGGCTAAAATCATAAAACGGTGCTTTGATTTGTGCATTTGAATGAGGGCCAAGGATAACGACAGGCAGTACGTTCCTAAAAACAAAATGTTGATCTGGGTCATTTTATGTCAGCGACGTATTCTGACCTTAGACAAGGCAGTGAAAGATGCATAATGCGGTTCTTGGTATCAGTAGTTTCAAAAATGAACATCGGGGACTATCTCATACAGCGAGCTCTAATGCAATACAACAGGTTGATTGTGACCTTCATACCTGACCTTAGGCCAATGGAGCTCGTTAGTTTAGTTGCTGTATTGCCTAGGAAACTATTACGGAGATGTACGGCTTCGTCTAACACTCATTTGTTGCATCCGATTGAACAATTCCCTAGATATTGCTTTCGCAGAGTCTATGGCCTGACTTTGACCTGCCGTAGGTCAGTGACCGTACAAGGCGCGTCTAAATTTTTGGTGCCAAACGATTCACTATTCAATTATCTGTAGCCTTGCAAAATTTTGCAACACTGCACTGCTCCATTTGGAGATCATTCTGGAAAATTTTAGGGGTATCAAATTGACCCCCACACGGGCGCGTATTAAGCATTAGTTTTGCCGCCTAGCACTGATCTAGTGCATAAATACTGGCACTAGAAGTAACGTCGCATCATTGTTCTCGGCAAGAGCTTGTTTCTGTCGCACTTATGTCGTAGAACCATTTTGATATTGTTGTTCGTAGCAAACAGCATGCGAAGCACCTTAAATGCAATCGAAGGCGATGTAGCCAGGGCGAAGGGGTGGTCCGCACGTGTGGTCGATTGAATAAACCTTCGAGACATGGGTCTACAGTCACCTATAAATGCAAAAGTGAAGCCTGTTCGTGTGAAAACTGTCGGGCACCGTTATCACGCTTGCTAAAGGTAGACGAGAACAATGAGTTCTAAATGCCAAATCGCGTCGGGGTTGGTCGTTCTAAAGTTAATTATGGCACGGTTTTATGAAACGGACGATTGAAAACGCTACGTGGAGAACGTTGGCTGGTGGTCTTTTAAGGAGCACCAGAGACTACTTCGATTATGCAAGCAGCTGGAGGACGCAAGACAGACTTGTCTGACAGATGAAACGAAGCCTGGCACGGCTATGTGCCAGACTTTGTTTGCCTATGTCTTGTTTTTGCCTAGGCTTTGTATGCCTCACTGCTCTGAATTGATTATGGAAAGTCTCCATGCCCCCCACCCCGAGAACGCACTAGCCTCGCGCATCATCACACAGAGTTCGGAACGCTTGTTGAGTGGAATTTTTCGCTGCGTCTGATGACAAAGCGGCATGTGGCAGCTTTAGGGGACGGCGAAATTAGCCGTGGCCCGGTAGAGCCTGGCCTGTGCTATGACTGGTCGCATTTCCCGAGCCAGGAATATGTACGAACTTGGCATGCACAAAATGGCTATTAATATCTAGTTCTTTAGCGTCGCAACATTAGAGGTCACGACCACGGCGTGAAGTGACCACGACCACGACCAAGCTCGGCGTGTGATTGGCTGAGGTCAAGACAATATCAGACGCTTAAACAGTACCGCAGGTTTAGTTCCAAATGAACCCTGGCGACTGACCAACGACCATGCGTGAGCTGTCCAGCGACGATGGGCGAGGCATTCAGGTGATTTGGGAAGGACCGGTTTAAAGATACCGGAGAAGGGTAATATTTTCAGATATGTTGACAAGCGTCCATCAGACGTCCACAGACCTTGGGCGTGTTTGTGAGGACATTCGTTTGCCGTTGGTCAATCTATGTTAAGGTAGCTGGTGACATTTAAGCCAGCGCGTTGGGTTTATATAAGTTATCACTTGTATGACTAGTACGTGATAGCTTTGTCAATCCAAAAGCACACTGCATGACTTCACTTCGTGTACTTTCGTTAGCGCTGAGACCTCAAGAGCATATCAACGTTACGTCAAACCCTACGAATGGCTTCGCGCAGCATATGTTTGACGAGCAGGCCAGAGAGCTGGTACTGTGCTAAGCAGAACGGGCTCCAAACACCCTTAGTGTCAATGTATAAAGAAACCTGATCAATGCACAATGCATTGTAGGCGCATGACTGTTAGTAGACAAATATCCCAATTCGAAAACTTCCGGATGTTAAAATGAGTGAAAATGGCAGTGTTTGAACCATGGGAAGTGTATTTGGACACTTATACCCCAGACATTATTTGTGTTTTGAAAAGACTACGACAGGTGCTATCTGTAGAATAAAGTTAACGGGCATTATGTCATGTTGAAGCAAAGACCTTTGAACTAACTGGCGATGCCTTTTTTCAAACTGGCCTAGACGAACTTCGTTTTTTAGTTCCATCATACGCATCTTTATGATGTCGAAAATACTACTTTCATGACATTTCGTGCATCATGGGTACTAAAGTACTGAGAACACATCAATGGCAACGCCAGTAATGAAAACGTCTCGTGACATACGTCATGAACCTTAAATGAGGAGTTAATGTTATGTTGGGTGGATTCTACGCATCTTATAACCCCTGGGATTAATTTTCAGCAAATATGAGGCATGAACGTGTTAAATCGCCCTGCTGGTGCGGCACTGGGTGGGAGGCCGCACCAGGTGTCAATCCCGAGGTATTTTCACGGGAGGTGAATGCTCCCCAAATGACACTTTTCTGCACTGGAATTATGAAATGTGTTTCGCCACGCTTGGAGTTGAGGATATGCAAAACATGGACGTCGTTATAAATAATGACATCTACTGCCAACGTGCAAACGAAAAAATGTCATCTTCCTAAGCATCAGCTACAATATGCGGAATAACGCAGCCTCTGTCCAAATTGCGCATGGCACAAACAGGGACTCTCAGGTTTTAAACAAACGTGGCTTGTGTCAATCTTTGAATTGCCGGAAGTGCCGAAAAACAGGTTGCGCGAGACTTATCGGACTTTAAAAACCGCGTGGCTGACTGCACTTTCACATCAGGCTGCGGGTTTGACATCCCCAACACCAGTGATAGCCCACGCTTCCGACGTGGCCCGTTAAAGGCGGTCAGTCAGCAACTGGTCTGGGGAGAACGTCAGACTGTCACCAGGTGGCCGCGGTCTGCCGTCGAATGACAAAACAGATTTTTCGGTGCTATTTGGCTAACGTACAACCAAACGTAAAAAGCCAAGACCCTCCGTTCGACTGGGAATGCTGTACTGGGACGGTGCTCTCTAGTTTCTCGCATCGAGTTCCTGCGCGTATATGTATTGGAGGACCTCTTATTGCTGAGTGGCATAGCTGAGCTCTGTGCGAATAAAGTAGTTTGCACTGGCACCACCCTGTGTGTGTTGTTGCAGGGACGCCGGCGTCATGCTGTTACGAGAACCGCACCACAGGCGGGTCGGCCCTGGTGCTGACTGGAGCGTGGCAGGCGGAGCTCTGGGGACAGCACTGGATGGACACGGAGAAACTGCGTGACCAGGCTGGACTGCCACCAACCAGGTCAGGTCGGATCAACGGGGGCGGGGGGGGGGGCAGCCTGCTGGGTGTGGGGCGGGCCCACACAGGCCATTGCCACAGGAACGGGCCGCCACGCCCGACACGGGCCGGGTACACCACAGCTTGACGCACGAGCGAGGGAGGGGGGGGGGGAGGGAGGGGGCGTGACCAGGCTTGGGGAAAGGGAGGGCCATTTTGAATTTTTATTTGCATGCGCTGTCGCAAGAGTGGTTCTCTTTTTTGTAAATGTTGGAGTTCAAGCCCCAAAACTCCATATCCATAATGCGACTACTGTTTGATGACGCGGTCTGATGTCTTTCCACCATGTACAGACCGATGTCACTTAATATACCAGTCAGCGCGATCCACATAGACGGCTGTGAAGTAAACACAACAAAACTGCCCGCTTCATTTTTGTCGGCGGCATTTTCGCTGCAGTTCGAGGCCAGCACGTTTGACGGCAGCGGAAGTCGACCAGCTTAGTTCCAAACCCTCGTAACGACACAGCTGCTCCAGCACGTCTGTCGCGTTGTCAGTGTGTTGGGTGGACCTTCGCTGGTGCTTCGCATGTATACGCTTACTATCTGGACTTTTCCCGGTCGGGCAATGCTGTATTCCGTGCGAGGGACTCCAACCTCTGCTCCGCGAAACACTGCCGTGTTCCCCACGAACGCTCAAAGGAAAGGAGGTTAAAACAATGGAAAAAGTGAAAATGAAAGGCTGTGCTAGTTTGCCCATGCAAAAAAGACCGGTAAAATTAGCAACTGCCGAAAGGTCACAGTAATTTTCACAGGCATCGGCTCCTCCTTTCCCCAAGTGATTTTGCAAGCCTGCGCCCCTGTTCTCTGTAGTTGTTCTGATGAACGGCTGCTGCTACCACACCCGTGTGCCAAAGCAAAATAAAAAACATTTATCATGAATGCAAGAATGAGCCACAAGAAGTTCCTCTAGTTTGCAATTAGTCACGCTCAGTATCACCATTTGGCAATATTCCTGTGTGACCTGTCACCAGACCATCATACGTGGCAAGAATAGGTTGGGGGCTAAGCGCTCTGAATAGGGGGCTTCCCAGCTATCGGCCATGGCATCGTCTACAACTGATTTTGGTAGCTTTTTCTCCTTTTGGTAACCCCTAACCTGACACAGCCGGGTGGTCAGTTCAAACCTGATGTAACCTTGACTTGGGGCGTGAACGAACCGCAAAGAATGTTGCTGAAAGCTACTGGCTCAACCGATCTGGTAGCCAAATTTTAAGATAAGCCATGAAGTATCTAGAGATGTACTTAAGTCGTTGGACCTCAAGGCATCTTAAATAATCACGATTCGTAACTGTGTACCTTAAAGGCTCCATCCCTTGTTTGTATTTCTCGGAGCTTTTTTATTCGAAGGGAGCAGCCTGCACGATTGTCCTCTTTCTCCAAGAGCATCTGAGCGTTTGGAGGCCATTTCCGAACCACACGAACCCCGGAAACAGCCTGTGTCACTAATGACTTTCAGAGAAGCCTTTTATCATTTCGAGGCACTCTGCTATATAGTGCGTGACGTTCGCTGTTTGTACTCCGTGTCGTCAGGGTGCTGCTCGACGGCCGCTGGTACCCGGCGCCGCGTAACCCGGGCCTGTACGTGCGTAACCGGTACGGACACGAGGTGTACCGCCACGCCGAGCACTGGCTGACGACGGGGATGAAGAGCGGCTGGGCAGCCTACAACACCGCACGGTCAGTCGGCTGATCCCTGCATCACCGCATGGTCAGTCGGCTCATCCCTGCAGTACCCCATGATCAGTCAGCTCATCCCTACAACACCGCACGGTCAGTCGGCCGGTCCCTACAACACCGCATGGTCAGTCAGCTGATCCCTGTAATACCGCATGCTAAGTCAGCTGATCCCTACAGCACCCCACGGTCAGTCAGCTGGTCCGTACAGCACCGCGGGGCCAGTCGGCTGATCCCCCACAGCGCCGCATGGTCAGTCAGCTGATCCCTGCAACATCGCACGCGAAGTCAGCTGATCCCTACAACACCGCACGGTCAGTCGGTTGATCCCTACAGCACCGCATGGTCAGTCAGCTGATCCGTACAGCACCGCGCGGTCAATCGGCTGATCCCCACAGCACCGTATGGTCAATCAGCTGATTCCTGTAACATCGCTTGGCCCATCAGCTGATCTCTACAGGATCGCATGGTCAGTCAGCTGATCCCCACAGCACCGCATGGCCAATCAGCTGATCTCTACAGCATCGCATGGCCAATCAGCTGATCCCTGCAGTATCTCAGGGTCAGTCAGCTGATCCCTACAACACCACATGGTCTGTCAGCTGATCTGTACAGCGCCGCAGTCAGTCAGCTGTTCCCTGCAACACGGCGTGGTCAGTCAGCTGATCCGTACAACACCACACGGTCAATGAATTGGTCCGTACAGCACCGCAGTCAGTCAGCTGATCCCCCAACAGCGCACGGCCAGTTAGCGGATCCTTACAACACCACACGGTCAAGCAGCTGACCCTTTGATTCCCCCCCCCCCCTCCCGCCCACTCATTCATTCATGCTCGCTCACTATGTGCGGCAGATGTGCAGCCGCTGCCCGCTATGAATGTGCTCTAGCGGAAACAGCGCTCATGATGCCATTTCGAAACGATGCGTGGCATATGATCAGCACGTGTCTGCTGGTTGGTTTCATGCTATGCTGATCGGTACACTGCCGATTTTGCACCCTCAAATCCAATATTTAAGTCAGATCAGGTGGAGTATGCCTTATGGTGCAAAGTCGTTTCTGACCGTTTGAACTCGGTCAACTCCACTGTTCAAGTTTCGGTCCTTTAGGACCTTTCGAAAAGGCCCGAAAGGCGTGCCAAAGGCATACCCGGGCCCGAGATGCTAGGCGGGAATGTACGATTGTGTACAGTTGGAGTGCCTTTAGCTAACCTAATTTTCGCCACAGCCCTTCCAAACTTGATCGGGGCCCTCGAAAGTCCCAGCCGTCAACCCCATGGTTATGAGAAACAACAGCAATGCAGGTAAAACCGAGCCGCACAACTTTGACCTCAGTCCTATTGCCTGGCAAGGATGAGGGTGGCGAGAAAAATCAGTGTGTCCCCTTTCCTCCCGCCTCATCTTTTCTGATGCTCTGCTAAAAGTCGGATGGAGTTGCATCTTTGTGGTGAAAGGGGGGAAATATCCGTACCTTCCTTTGCCAAAAGCATACGATGAACAGCCATTAAATCGGGCGACACCATGATATGCCGTGGACATATTTTCACCCCAAAGATCAACATTGGATAATAATAAGCTAATCGATTCGACAGTCCGCAATCGACAGTCCGCCGTGGACTTGCCTTGTTGTGTTACAGGTTCGTGCCCTGCCCGGACCCCGGCGGCCACTCCTGCCTGGACCAGTACCTGACGGACGGCGCGCTGCAGTTTGATCGGCCCCTCTGACCGTCCGGTGGCCGGCCGGCCGCCGGGCGACGCCGGTCGCGGCGCGTGACAGGCCGCGACCGCACACCGCATCGGCCCGGCGCCGGGCGCCGCCACTCCTGACTTGCGGTGTGTCGCGCGTGACATCAGTGCCCGTCCGTTCTCACGAGTGTTGTGCCCATTTCATTCCCACGTTCATGGCCGGGCCGTTGCTGGGCTGAGCACCGCAGGAGCTTGCGCTCTTCTGACTGGATTTCCAGCCCGCTCAAATAGAACTGCTATTTCACTCGATGTGGTGTGTAGG